CAGTAGTGTCAGAGTGAGTACACCAGTGCACCAATCAGTACTGCAGTATGTTGGCAGAACACAATATTGAAAGTATGCAACTATAACCAGTCAATATAGACATATAGGATGCACTATACATTACAGTAAGGCACTGCACAGTGCAGTTTTTACAAAAGTAGCAGGTAGCACACTATTATAGAACAGTATGATTGCAACAATATAAAAGCCAGATAGTATTAAACATGAAAGTATAATTGTATAAAAAAGCTTACAATGGGCAGTCAATAGGGCCCATTATCAAAAGATCGTATTATATCAAGAGTACTTACTTCCAGAGAGATTAAAATTGTGTCTCTCGCAGTGTGATTTTTTGTCCAACTTGCTGCATATTTCGCCGTACACGGACATATCACAAAATATATGAAATCTACAAATCGTTTAGTTGTTTACATTTGCCAAGGAGACGCAAAGTGCCGGGGAATATTTCCCCGGTAGTTGGTTAGGAATCTGTCCAATTAGCATCCAGTAATCAACAAGAGTTCAATTTCCCGACCGGGATAATTATTTTCCCGCTGTTTTCTTCAATTTTTTGTTGAGATTTTGTACTTCAGGTTTCAGCACAAAATTTTCTTGATTAAATGTGGATTTTTTACAGAAAAATGCCAGAAGAGTACCGGTGTTCTGGTTTAGAATATATATTTGAAGGTAAGGTTGTGTCTTATGGACTTTTATGTTATATTTTTGGTATATTGCATTCAATTTTTTACAAACAAGCCTGTGGCGGTTTCGCGTTTAAACAGGCTGAACACACGGCGACTGTCCAGGCTGTCAACATTTAAAATCCTTCTAGTGCAGATTGGAATAGTATTTCTTTCTTTTAAGACTGAAATGGACCTTCGACAACTTTTACATGATGTGCCAGGCGAGGTTTTTCCAGAATGAAGGCAGCCTTTCTTGAGAAAGACTGTTCAAAGACCAAGAGTCCAAGTATTATTCAAAATAGCAGTTTACCCCACTGTCAAATAAACCAGGACGAAATCTATTTTATTTTATTTTACAGATTTTGCCATTTAACACAAACTATTACACAAAATTAGTTAACACAAACTATTACACACAATAGATTACATGGCTGGAATTACCACACAGAGATTAGTTCTCCAATAACGGGGTTCCAAACAAATCTGCCCTGTTTTTCATAAAAATTAGCTTCTGTTTGTGTATAAAATTTATAAAATGCAATACATTTATAGTCAAAAGAGGACAACATTTGATACATGTTGAAGGTTTTATATTTTAGAATCTGATACAAGTTTTTTATATTATTCAGTAGAAGAAGAATTGGTCATAGCTTTCTTTGCAGTACCAGTGATGGCTCGAGCTTCAAATAATTAAGGTGAAAACTATTATTTTTATTCACTGTAGAGTATAAAGCTATGGTATCTTATTGGGCCTGGATATGTATTCCCTTGCAAATTTTTCCTTTCCCCCCCACAAAGATTTCACCATGTTAACTTGTTTTTCCAACTTTATGGTCCCTTGTTTTTTTTATCATTTTTTTCTTTGAATTCTGATTGCAAAATATGCATTGTTCTCTGGTTTCCTAAAACCAGCCCTGGGAGACCCTCAGTACAGTCTCACAATTATTTGGTGTTAAGAATTTTAGGACCCAAAGGCAACTGACAATGGCTTCCTCTTTGAATTCCATTTCAGAACCATGAAAAACTAGTTTGATATAAATATTATAATATGAAATAAGTTCCTCTATGAACATTGCCAGGTTTTTGCAGCTATGAATACTCAAGTAACAACTTAGAAAACCAATAGTAAAATTTGTCTTAGACGTAGTACAAGCTTCACATTTGCCATGTGGTAAATGCTTATTATTTCATATTGTAGGTCGATACTAGCATGCCAAGACACTAGGAAAAGAATCATAGCCTGAATATGGATTATATGGTCATGATGATGCCTATAACTGGCCATTTGAAACCGATTGTCTTATATCAAGATCTTGAGTTGGTTTGATGTCGATAAGTGTCAACTATGTCATGCTGTATAAATAAATTCATCAAAAAAGAATCACCATCGAAAAAGGGTTACCATCAACAGATTCTGGGCGAATGTAATGACAGGCACTTTATTTATTTGCTGCCTACATGCAACATTATTTCTTTAGCAAGGGGGTCTACTGTATATTGATTAATTTAATACAGTCTTTGTTTTTTCCCTATCCTTGTCTCATTGTACATGCCAAGGCTGCCTCACTTTGACAAGTAAAATTTGTGATGTGAGGCAATCAAGTATTATTGGCATACAGGTAGTAATAAACAGAGCACCTTGCCTGTAATGGGCAAACAAACAACATAATTCCTACTTTTCAATTTCAAAAATCCAGGGCAAATTACAGTCCATAAAACTATAATGCATATATATGGCTTAATGTGACTACAGTACTTTGTCAGTTTACTGTGTCTATACACAAGAATATTTACTTGTCAAGGGAGAAATGTTGGGCATTAATGAGTTCATTTCAGTAGTAATTCACTGAGATGAAATTATTAATTCAATTGCATGCAAGATTAGGAAATATCTTGCTTCATCTGTTACTATAATCAGGATAATACCATATGTAACTAAAGGTTCAAGGTACTGTACTGTACATTTACTGAAGTTCTAACATTGTAATAGTACTTGTTGTCTTTGACAAATGTATGTGGACATTTAAATTTGACAGTAACTTAATGTGTCAATGATGCATGGTATGAAATCAAGTTGTAGAACTTTATTTCTTGAAATACATGGCTAGTTGGTATAAATTAAAATATATTTCACAGAAAACTTTACAGCGTACGTTTTGTATTAGATGAAGCAGTTGACTTAATGTAATTAGACTGATTGCTAAGTTTCTCGATAATTCACCGTTTTACGAAGTAATTGCATTACGTCGTTAGAAAGCCTTCCGCGTAAACTAACGCTCTTGGCAGATGTTACCTCGTTTTTTAATTATTTCTACGCAATTTTTAATGTTATGAAAACTGAGTGATGTTTTTTCATGGTTTTGGTTTTCATAACATTAAAAATGTGTAAAATAATTAAAAAGATGAGGAAAAGTCTTCAAGAGTGCCGGTTTAACTCCTGAAATGGAGTTAAAATTATTTAACTCCTGAATAGGGGTTAGATTTTAACTCCAATATGAGAGTTAGATTAACCCCAAAAGTGGAGTTACATTTTAACCCCAGAAATGGAGTTATTTCTAACCCAAAAAAACCGGATTATTTTGAACCTTTTTTGCTAACCCCCTTTTCCGGAGTTATTTTAGCTCCCTGAAAATAACAGTGTATATATATATATATATATATATATATATATATATATATATATACGAGTAGGTTTGTGTATACGAAACGCAAAGAGTTCTCAATATCATAAAGATAGAGCAAATGTAGAATTTCGCTTATCTCAAAATTCCGCAACAGTCTGTTTCATCAGTAAAGAATCATCAGGCGATACCATCTTTACTGATGAACCAGACTGTCGCGGAATTTTGAGGTAAGTGAAATTATATATATATATATATATATATATATATATATATATATATATATATATATATATATATATATATATTAGAAGACATTATATTAGATTAGAATAGAAACTTGAATAACTTCATATGAACTTTATTTCACAAAAAGAAATAAAGTTCATATGAAGTAATTCAAGTTTGTGTTCTAATCTAATCTAATCTTATCAGCTCTACTACGGTATTGAGCACTCTACTCATATATGAATCCAAACTCGATACTTGTCTCTCTCTCTCTCTCTCTCTCTCTCTCTCTCTATATATATATATATATATATATATATATATATATATATATATATATATATATATATATATATATATATA